TATATAATATATATATATATATATATATATATATATATATATATATATATATATATATATATATATATATATACATGTTAAAAATACATTGATTTGTATCTTAATATATATTCTTCTTATATTCCTTTAGCCTTTCCCTTAATATAGATAGAATATAGAACAGAATATAACACAAAACAATAGAAAAATCTACTTATAAACTATTTTAAACATTTAATAAAATTGAAAAATATTTAACAATTATTTTAAATATTTAATAACTATAATTCCATTTTTAAACAGTAAATTTAATAATTATGCTTTATTTTTAACTGCCTTTTAAAAGTAAAAATAAATTATCCATACGTATAAAATATGTAAAAGAATATTTCGAATTTTGATTTAAAATATAATATATTTAGATTTTATAATTTTTAAAACTTTTAATAAAAAATGTATATATTTTATAATATATTAATAAAAAGCATAAAGAAAAGAAAATATTTAATAAAACAAAATTTAATAAAACATTAAATTTTTTCTTTGTTTAAATATGATCTAAATATATTACTTTCATTATTGATAATTTAATATTTCAATTCAATGTTAAAATTTATAAATAAACATATAAATTAGACAAAAATTATTTTAAAATAATTACAATGTTTAAAAATAGATACATAATTTATATAATATAAATAAAAAATACTTTGTAATTATTTATTATAAAACTTCTTATAAACATAATGCATTAATAACTACAGAACTATTCTATATTAAATAAAATTTTATAGCAATATATAATTTTTTTATTTCGACATGTTAACAAAGATTATATTTGTCACTAATCAATGATATTCAAGATTTAAACAACAGATTTTTTTTCTAAATCTCATATAAAATTAAAAGTTTCTTAAAATCTAACGAAATATAGTATTAAAATTATAGAAAAAGATTGATATACAGGGTGTCTCTTAGAACATACTTATCAAAGTTTGTAAAATCTGGAAATCTGAGGACATCCCGTATAAAAGCGACATTATAGATTGCTATAAGACTATTTTTTAAATTTGAATTTGATTAAAATTTAAATGAAAACAGACATTAAACACTAATCTATCAGTAATTACATAATCAATAAGTTACACAAATATTTCAACACTGAGTCTTTTTTCCTTATAAATTGGGCTGCCAAATGTTAAAACACATTGAAAAGAAAACTGTTAGTCAGAACTGGTGTATTTGAAATCAAAATGAAAGTTTTTGTATTCACATGTATATTGGCTATTGCAGTAAGTAAAAAATATTTTTGATATTTCAAAGTACAATATATGTTTAGATGTTACTTTTAAATTAGAGTAAATATTTATAAAATTAATTAATTAATTAATTAATATATAAATATGATTAAAACAAAAATATATAATAATATATGTATTATATACAATATATATAAAATTATAATAGTTGTTATTTTAAAATCTGGCATACATTTGGCAATTATCACACACACACACACACACACACACACACACACACACACACACACACACACACACACACACACACACACACACACACACACACACACACACACACACACACACACACACACACACACACTACTACTTACTTATACCACACACGCACACGCACACACACATCCATTTTCATCTCATTCAAAAATTTATATATTATATTATAAAATATTTAATTCTATTCAAAAATCAAAAATTAAAATATATCCTTTTACAAATTAATTCTTTTCTCTTTAATATTAATTTAAAATTATTGAAAATCATGTATTAAATATTTCTCAAGACAAATTTATTCACATAAAATTTAATTCTTTTTCTTTTTAGACGGCGTTGCCCTATGATAAGCTTCAACTTTTACAAAAATTTCGTTCAGATATTAACATGTGTCTAGAGAATTACCATTCTGGTAAATATTGAATGTTACAATTAAATAATTTTCAAATATTACATTACAGTAAGAATATAAACCAAATTACAAAAAATGTTATAATTATTTATATTAATTACAAAAGGACTTTTTTGTTAGTTATAATTACAATTATTCAAACCAATATTTTAAAAAAACATAATAAAAAAAATGTAATATTCTTCTTACTAAAGAATATTACTTTGAAAAAATTAATAATTATTAATAAATTATTGAAGATAAATAAGTTGTTAAAGGAAAATATATCTTATAAATCAAAATATAATAATAAAGATAGAAAACAGAATTTAATTGAAAATATAATTTTTTAAGTGATACATTTTAATGTTATTAAAATTATAATTAAAATTCTTTTTATAAGTCCCATGTAGTTCCCACATAATAAAATTATAATTAAAATTCTTTATATATTAATGTGTGTATGTATGTATGTATGTATATATTAGAAATGTGCCCTTTTTTCGATTTATCTGTTAAGTAGCACTAATGTAGAAAAATACATTATACTTATTCTTTCAAACTTTCCTTTGTCTAATCCAATATACATTTTAAGCATTGTCACATTATATTCTATTTATATGTTACAGAGATAATTGATGCTGAGGTAGTCTCATGTGTGTTATATTACAATGATTTGGTATGTTTACATATAGATAGCTCTAATAGATCAATAATCTTCTCAGATTTTATTGCTTATCTTTTATATATAGAAAAATTATTTTTTAATTAATTAACAAAATCTATATTGTTCAATTAAATGAAAATAATCATAACAAAGCAATTCATAATTATAATTTATTTTCTAATAAATTATAATAATTATAAAAATTATTAGCCAATAGCATCTATTGTACTTGATTATTAAACATTAGTTTTAATCGTAGATTATAATAAACATAGTGTAAATAATGTAAGTAAGAAAAATCAATTCTTTATTAATTAGAAAAATTAATTTTCAAATAATATGTTTTAATAATATTATATATAATTTGATATATAATTTTATGTTATTAATTTTTCAAATATTTTTTGTGTTTAATAAAAAATATTAAGTTATGTTATTGATTTCAGATTAGTGAAACAGGTGACATAAAATATAATGATGTTTTATGGTATATGTCATATTTTATTACTGACCCACAAAGATTATCTGTAACGCAAGACATACTTGCGCAATGCCACAATATTGGTAATTATTTTTATGTAATTTATTTTACTTTTTATATTTTTCATCAAAACAAATATCTTTAATTTTATATGTGTGAAGATGTATGTGAATACAGACATAATCTTAATGACATATTATTTAAATCTAATTATTATACTACAATATTTATTATGTATGCAATTTTTTTTTTAACAGTGCAACAATATCAAGCAGATCCGTTCTTTAAGAATTTCAAGTTCATAAACTGCATAAAATCAATATTTCAATTCATTAATCATTTATCTGATGAATAAAATATTCATTAATATTAAAAAAATTAATAATGTTTCCTATATAATTTTTACTTTATATACAAATTATTATTTCAATAATTATTAATAAATCTTATATATTATATAAAAAGTATAAATATATTTTACGTATATCTTATTCAAACCACAGAAATCTGTATTGTTAAAATCAAGATAAATAATAACGAAAAGATGTTTAAAATAAAAATTTTAAGCAACAAATTGCAAAAATTTTATTGAGTTACACGATACAAAATACTTATTCTTGGCGCTTGTTACATAAAAGATTAATCTATTTTTTCGAACGATTCTTGTGACGAAACGATCTAATGATTCTAACGATTTAATAAACCAAGATTAGATATACATTTATGCGTAATACTCATCGCTGCAGTTTCTTATTCTAAAACAGATAACATCTCGCATTAATGAATAATAATTTATTTTAACTATTAATTAATTCAGAATATGTTTCAACTACGCAAATGTGTATGCATACATATATATGTATAATTCTAATTATCTTATCATGGAAATACATTACTAAAATTAAGATAAATAATAGAGAGGAAATTATTTTGAAAACAATCCTGCAAGAAGTCACATAATATTAAATAAAAAAAAAACTTGTTCATTCAGTGTTACCATTCAGTGTTATGTAGTTATCAGTGTAAAATGATATAAAAAGAAATAAAGAATATGTTTTGAAGAACAAAATCGCTTTGACTATTTATTTTTACTATTTATTTCTCAGTTTCAAAATGATTATAGAGGATAGAACTCTACTAAAACTGACAAGAACTATCACTAGAATTGTGATAAATAATCAACATGGCATCTTTTCTCTGAGTGTCATACATTTCTAAGATTAAAAAATTATTTAAAAATATGTTATCGCCGGAAGTCTGCTTAAAAATGATTGTAGAACACAGAACTCTACTAGAGTTAGACGAGAATTATCGCTGTGATAAATAATCAGTACATATCTCTGTTGAGTCATGCTGCTATAAATATTCGCAACTATTTACAAAACGGCTAATTGTTGAAATTTTCTCCTAAAGTTTTACATAATTATGAAATTAATCTAGAACTAATGAGACCTTTGACAGATGTCATAATATTCCATTGCTTCTTAAACTTTCGAGAAAGATATGTTATGCTAAAAATGAAGTTAGCATATTTCTTATTTTTTATTTTTTGTTGTTAAAAATGCGAAATTTTATTTAATCTTTATCAAGCATTATAGAATTATGAAAACAAATTATCATTGTTTTTTTACAAATTAATAAAATATTGTGCCAATTTCCTATGTCAAATCATAATATTACGTCGAATATATCTTGCGATAATTGTAAATCAGTCGATTTTTATATTTTTTCGTTAATTGTAACAGTACATTGGTACAATATTGGCACGTATACATTTTTAAAATATTATTTATTAAAATAAATTAATTGTTGAATTATCAATTAAAATAACCAGTCACACACAAGATTATTTTTTTTTTGTAAAAGCAACAAATTGTAAAAACTCTATCGCGACTGCGACTCTTCGATTCTTAATTATCGCTTAATAAAAAATTATACATCTATTCACGAAAGAAAAATAATGACGTGGCAACAATTAAGCAAATTGATATAATTCGATCAATTTAACGATCTAAGATTCAGAATTACAAGCTTATGCATAATATGCATTAATGTCTTCTAAGAAGAGATAAAAAAAATATCACCGTGTCTTTGTATATTATCTATTAATCGTTGATTTATCAGAAATATATTTCAAACGTTGCGGACATTATGCGGACTATATGACAGATTATAACATACAACAGAATGTTTTATAATTAGTAACACACTCTTGTGCAGAGATAATAAATTAAAATAAAATATACTAATAAATAAAAATAAAAATAATAAAAGAATAAATAAAAGAATAAAAATAAATTATACTGAATAAAAATATTTTCTAGGAATTTACGATTTTTACAATAATTAATGAGATATTAATTTATTAAAAATCCGTAAATAAGCGTGTATCTCTATTAGAAGACAGTATTATGCAAGTATTATACAAGTTCACGATTATTAGTTCACGATTAACGTAGTGAGATGTTTGGAGGTATAATTTATATATGATAGAGAATCTGTTTATAAAAAAATTAACTATGTATTATCATTTAGTTTCTATTATTATTTATCATTCCTCTCTTTTAATTGTTAACTTTCTTTCTTAATTTTCTAATTTTTAGATCTTTATTTTTCATTCATTGTTGCTTATTTCTCATTAATATTCCTTGTTCTTCTTTTTCTTCTTCACATTCTTCATTTTTGACATTTTAATCATCTTTTGTGTATTCCGTTCATCATATTTTATTGTTTAATATATTTGTATCATTTATTTTTTGACATAATTATTTATTCAATTATTTTAACTTAATTTTATGTATTATATACATAAAATACATAAAAATTTATAATAATATTATTTATTGTATTTACAGATTTACAAATTAATCAAGATAATGCATATAACTCATAGAAAATGTTCATTTCTTTATTCATTTTTTCTACAATTTTATGATTTATTAAAAAAAAAATCTTTCTCACATGATTCTCATTTTTCTTGTTTGCCTTGTTATTATTAGCATAAATGATTATGATTAAAAAACCAAGTCTATTAAAGCATTATCTTAGATGTAATGCAAATCAACTAGGCTATTTCCACAAAATATATAACGTGCACGCAATATGTATTATAAATCATTACGTCACAAATTCTCCCAGGTATAAATACGCGGCTGAAGTATCGACATATTATAGTGCAAGGAAAAACATTTTCCGGAATCCGTGCATCTCAAAGTATTCTTAAAGAATAATAAAATGAAGAAATTTCTTGTGCTCATCGCATGTTTGCTAGTAAGTAAAAATACATGAACCAAATAATATAAAATAATATAGTTATCTGTTTCTTTGTATCGTTCTTTCCATGCTGTCAATATTTTCGACTTTTTGTATTCATATCCAGCACAATTTTAATTTTAATTTTAAATAGAAAATAATACATTTACACTTTTTATACTATCTGCTTCTTATTATAATATTGATACAGTATCATATAAAATATAATAGTACTTATAATTTATAAAAAATTTTAAGAAAGTCTAGAAAACAAGTAATATGGATTTGAATAATAATTATGAAGAAGATTCATTATAATCATTTACTCAAATATATAATAAAAAATTAGATTATCGTTTAATTCTCTGCCATGTCATTGTGGAATTATCTTAATAATAACTTTAAACAAGAAATAGGAAATTGTTTATTTAAATTAATTTATTTTTATTTCTTTTTATTTTATTTATTTAGTTTATTTTAGTTTATTTAAATTTAAATAACAAATAGAAAATAAGTAGGAAATCGTTTAAAGTAAAAAAACAGGCTTGCATTGTATGTCTTATTATTGTATTTTTTATTTGCAACATTTAAGATATATATATATATATTAATATTATACATCATTGTGTGTATAATATCTAAAATATTTTAGATATTAAAAAATATTAGAAAAAATGCATAACATCAAATGATTGAGTCTTTCAAATTTCAGGCAGTGGTCTGTGCCGATAATCCTGAAGCAGTAAAGGATTTCTATGATAACAGCGCAAAGTGTACCCAGGAGTTAAATAAACCGCGTAAATATTAATTATTATTAATTACCATAATTAATCGATATTAAATTAATACAAATAAATTGTCCTCATTTTTAAATGAAATTAAAAGCAAATTGTTAGATTGATATTGAAATATTATTAAGGAAATGAATTATTAAATATTATTAAAGAAATAAATTTTTTTATTCTCAGTTTACTTTCTATTAATACAAAAACTTTTCAATATTTTAAAAAGGTTATTTAAAAAAATAAACAATTCTTAGGATAATAATTATTTAAAGGAGAGCTCAACATGAAACAAATCTTTTGCATTAAAAATCTTATTTTAAAACAGATATATTAATATAGAATATTAATTATAGAATATTAATTTAGATAAATTCTAATTTATATAAATATTTTGTCTATATATTACGTATTACATATATATTAAATCTGTATTCGTATCTGTATTGCATCTACTGGAATATTTAATAATATTATATTGTATTATCAAAAGCTATTATATAAACAACTTTAAACAAGAAATAAGAAATTATTTATTTAAACTAATTAATTTATTTTAGTTTATTTAAATTTAATTAACAAATAAAAAATAAGTAGGAAATCGTTTAAAATAGAAAAACAGACTTGCATTGTATCAGTGGACTCTAGGTTATAATAAAATATGAAGTGTCAAAGTTAAAAACTAAAATATCGCTTTATATCATTTTTTATTATTTTGCTAAGTAAAAGCATTTCAGAAATATGTATGTCAAATATGTCATAATTCTTTCAGAGAATGATATTGATGTACTCATGTGCATTCTTCGCAAACACGGCTTGGTACGTATTCACATATTGAATAAATATACATAATTTATATGTAAAGTTCTATATAAATATCTACAATCTTTTATATCTTAAAAAAGTTAGATTCTTTTATAACACATGAAACATAAATATAATCATTAAAATTATTGTAAAAAAACAAATCACGAAAATAACAGCGATATAATGATTATTTAAAACAAATTTTATCTTTTCCATGAAGTGAAATGAAATAACATCATTAATATTTAATATTACATTTAATTTTTTTAATTTTAACTTTATATTTTGATAATGTTTTATTTATTATTTTGATAATATTTTGAGATTCCAGAATACAGAATATAATATAAAAAAAATTGTATTGTAATTAAAACTAATTAAGTCGTATAAATATTTAAAACTAATGTGAAATTTAAGCGATTTCTATCAAAAAAGTTAGAATGTTAACTATTTATAACTTTTATATTTAAATGATACTAAATAATGAGTTTATTAATTTCAGATCGATAATGATGATAAATATTTACTAGACAAAGGTCTAGCATATCTTGATGAACTTATTTCTGATGAAGCCAAAAGAAACCAAGCAAAAGAAACTATCCGCAAATGTTATAATGATAATGGTAATAAATATTTTATTTTTATTTTATATTTTATTATATATTATTATTACACTGTTATAAGTTATTATAAATTTTTCAACAAAGTGTACTTATAAAATTCAAAATGTACTTTTATTTACAAAAATACTGTATGTGTACACTATAATTATATACAATTTTTTTTCATATGTTTTGATAATTACAATGTGCAAACATGCGAATAAAAACTTTTCCAGAATAATAATTATATAATATTAGCAAATTAATATAAAATAAAAGAATAATTACGCATGTGTGGCCATTAACATACTGGTACGCTGCGCCGCGCGCGCGCGCGGGTGTGTGTGTGTGTGTGTGTGTGTGTGTGTGTGTGTATGCTATTATATCTTAAAATTATCAGTTTCTTACAATAATCTTTTGTTGAATAGTCAAATATGACGGTTCACAACCTAACCTGGAATTCACAAAGAAGGGCATACAGTGTGCACAATCAGTATTGGCTCTCATTGATAAACCCTAATAATGGAAGGAAATATTTTTATTTTTTATAAAATCTTCTACATATACATTTATGTAAAATAATAATAACGAATTACAAAAATCCTGTATTAATAATTTTGACTTTGCGCATACTTAAGAATTCTCTCTCTTATTATGTTTTTTTAATCGTAATTGACTTATTTGTATTAATAATTCAATAAACTATATATTACTTATTACTTTTAAAACATTTTAAAAATATTTTGTTCATTTATTCATATCAATTCTTACTTACCTTTATAATAAAAGAATAATATAATAAAATATTATAAAAATTAAAAAAAAAATCAAATATAAAATCGTTGTGTAAAGTTGTAGAAACAATAAATAAATATAAGATTGTAATATTTACTTTTTTTTACTTACTACTAGGTTATAAAAATTATAATTGTTTAAAAATTATAAACTAACTATTACAAATTATCTATCTTACTTATAAATTAAAAAATTTATATTATAAATTATATGTCATTCTCTCTTTCTTTTTTCATCCCTCCCTCTCTCTCTCTCTTCTCTCTCTCTCTCTCTCTCTCTCTCTCTCTCTCTCTCCTCTTCCTCTCTCTCAAAAATGTATTGTTATATTTAACGTTCAATTATTACAACAATAATTAAGATAAATTTGATCATTAATTTTTTTATCATATTTATATATTCGCCATTTAATTATAAACAAAAAATATAAAATGTAAATAACGGATTAATTAAAAATCAAATAGCATAATTCGTGTACGTGTTTAAGACTAACTATATTAATCTTCAATTCAATCTGGCGCAATCATTAATTAAAAAAAAAAAAAAAAAATAGTACAAATTTAGACTTCAAAATAATAAATATTTATGTGCGTTTTTTCCATTTTAAATATTAATAAAGGCCTTGTATGTTCTTCTTACCTTCAAAAGATTTTGAAACATACTGAAAAAATGTGACTCTTTAATTTTCTTAATATACTTATGATCATGGCAGTCAATACAAAATGTTTGAATGTTTCTTACATAGCATCATTACAGAAATCTACATAAGTGTCCGGTAATAAATATATCACTTTTTAGATAAGGTAGATAAGTAGAACTGATTACATACAATTAAAAAATCATGTATCATTTCATAATGATCCCTTAATATATCTACAATTATGATAATCAACGGAAAATATTTGAATGATTTTGAAATAGTATCATTATCTCGTAGCATGACCATATATATATAAGTATCTCGCTATTAGATTATTTCATAGATCATCACATCTTCATAGAATCGAGATCTGTGTGTTGCTATCATCTATTTTACTAACAAGTACAAAGTTGCAAGTAATAAGTAAAAGACATAAAAATAATTTTTTGTTCTTATATATTTAATAAGACTTATATTGATAAGGAACTATATATTATAGATATTATTGATATTAATAAGGAACTTTTATATTTCACTAGATGTTTAAGAAATAGATAAAGAACCGAATAATATATATATTTTTTGATTATAAAAATGATTCAACACGTTACACTTGTCACTGTACACTGTTAAATAAAAAATTATATTACTTATGCAATAATGCATAATATTGATCTTGTCATTATAGAATTATTATCTTAATGATAAACTGTTTTAATAACATATTTTATTTATTTGCAATATTTGATGTATATTATTATTATATTAGAATTATACATTATATATATAATGTAATATGTAATTAAAATATTATAAAAAAAATTAATTATAAAATCATATTAAAGTTATAAAAATTATAAATATTTTAAAAAATTATATAAATTTATATATTCTCTCTCTCTCTCTCTCTCTCTCTCTCTCTCTGCCTCTCTTTCTCCCCTCTTTCTCAAAAAAAAATGTATTGTTATATTTAACGTTCAAATATTACAACAATAATTAAGATAAGTTTTATTAGTTTTTTATCATATTTATATATTCGCCATTTAATTATAAATAAAAGATATAAAAATTTAAATAATAAATTGATTAAAAAATCAAACAGTAGTTCGTATACTTATTTGACATTAACTACATAAACTTTCAATTTAAATCTGGCACAACCATTCATTCACAAAGGCAACAACAGTACAAATGAATTTATAGACTTAAAAACATTGTTTTGTGTAAATGTTTATATGTGTTTTTTTTCATAAAGATTTTTTTTCAATAAAGATATGTTTTTCTTATCTTCAAAATATCTTGAAACGCACTGAAGAAATAAGACTTTAATCTCTTTAATATATTTACCATTTTGATTATCCGCACAAACTATTTCTGACGTAATATCGTTACAATATGACTATATAAATGTCTAACAATAAACATATCTCTTTCAGTAAGTTGAGGTAAAGTTGCTTATCCAATAAAAAGTCTTATATCATTTTATAATTTTCGCAAAGATTAAAGAGTTATTAATTTATAAATCATAGATGTAAGCGGGCCTTTGTGCATGCGAAGGGACGATCTAACGTTAGATATGTAATTTAGGTACAGGACAAGATGTTTGAAGATGTACGCTAAATGCAATAAATGGCTATTCTATCATTTGTAGGTCACATCTTGCTGCGCTTTTAGCAATCATAAATGTATATAATATATAATATATAATATATGCTGTCTCTTCGCGCAAATGCATGCTTATTCGCGAATTTTTATAAATTTTTATAATAACTTATTAATTATTATGAAAATGACAAAATGATACAAGATTATCGGACATTTTATATGTATAATTATCATTATCAAATAAATCTTTATAGACTATTACGCCAAAATCATTGTAAAATTAAGATAAAGCCGCTTGCTGTCTTTTATTTTACTGGAAAATACAAAATTGCAGATACGAAAAAGAACATAAACAATTCTTTTTTATTCACCTTTACGTAACTAATAAGACTTCCGTATCTCGCTAGTTATTTAAATTTGACATTATAGTGCTGAATAATGTACATAATTTACGATTAAACAAATGACTGATAACAGAGTGGTATGTTAAATAACAGTATACTGATGTATGTATTTTAGCTACGCAATAGTACTTGATACTGATTGGAAATTAATACAGCCAGTAAAAACAAGTATAATAAATGAAATAAATTCTTAACTAAATAAAATTATATTGCGCGCATTAAAATATTGTATTAAAATAATGTGTATAACGGTACATACATACAAAGTAAATAAGGGATTTGAAAATAAGAGAATTTATAAATAATTTAAATACGTTAATATTTTTGTTTATCTATTTTTTGTATCCAATTTGGACGATGTAGTAATTAAGAAAAAAATACTATCTAACTATTTTTTTATAATAGATATATTAATAACATATAACGATCAATATAACGACATATAAAGTTTTCAGTCAGAATAAAAATATCATTAAAATATTTGCTATTAAATATAAAAAATTTCTCGTAACATGTATATACATTTTAGAATATCTACGAAACAGTAGAATGAAGACTCTTGTGCTTGCTATGTGTTTACTAACCGTAAGTATAGAATAAAACAAAAAATTATTTTTTATTAAATATAGAAAATATTAAAAGTCATTAAAAACTAAAAATGTCATTAAAACTAAAAATATATACGTTTAATAATCATTTTTTGTATTAAAATGTCTACTTTTTTTATGCACGAAAATAATTAATTTTCTCTTTTGAATTTTAGACGGTGGTCTATGAATTTAACCGTGAATCATTAGAAAATTACTATTCTACTTTAAAAGAATGTGCAAATACATTACCGACATGCGGAAATGAACCGAGTAAGTATGCAATGTAATGTAAAGCATTAAATTATTAAAAAAATTAATAATGTTTAATAAAATTAAAAAAAAACAATTAACGAAATACATAATTATGACATAATTAATCGTAATTGTCATTGGTCTTAATATATGTATATTCAAGATGAAAATATCTAATGTAAAAAATAAAAAGCTGTTTACTTTATTTTTTATATTACAAATATAAAAAAATAATTTTTTAAATATTTCATCAGTTAGATAAAATCAAATTTATTTATATTAAATAAAATCAATACTAATCTATTTTTATTAGTATTGAAATTGAAATAAAACTAATCTTTTATATCCTTTTGCTATCAATATAAATGATAATATCGTTTCTTTATTTTTAAAAAGTAATAATAAAAACATTAAGATTTCTAAAAAGTTTAAAAAAAAGCAACATATTGAAAGAATAATATTTGGAATAATATTCTAAACAGTATTTTAATTAAAAAATAGCAAAAATAACAATAAATCTTTTTAAAACTAAACATACTGCTAACACAGAATAACAAAAAAATTCAGTTTAAAGAAATTAACAAACAATTTGAATTAAAATTTAATTAACATTAATAAATTTATAATTTATATATTACAGACGATGTGATGCTCAGGATTGATGCGATACAATGTGTATTGACAAAGTATGGAATAATAAGTATATATTTATAAAAAAGACTAGAAAAATACACAACATGCATAACACATGTGCGCGCAAATAAAACAATTAAAATCGCTAATTAACTTCATCGATTTTAACCAAAAAATTTGTATGTATTCCTTTTAATACATGGTAACACTTTCTAATAAAATATATTTAAAAAATCTATCGAAGATAATCATCAACTAACAATTTGATAAACTTCAATTATAGATTTTCACTATCGTAACAGTAAAAATTTAATTTAAATTAATTTTTATATTAATATACATTAATATGTTTCAAATCAATTATAAAAAAAATTTTGACAAATAAAATTCTATACTATTTATCTAAATTATGATTTAAATTTCCAATGTTTTCATTTTTATTGTTTGATAGTAGAATAATAAATAATATTAAATAATAAAATAATATTAAATAATAAAAATTATTATTTATAGATTAACAAATTCGCTATTCTAAATTTAGCACAAGGTTTACAATATTGTGAGGATTGGATCAATGATCCTACTGAAGTAAATATGTGCATGAAAATCATT